GAGAGATGATTGTGTGTGAAAATCCCAGGAGATGAGCTGTTTCAGTCCAACACATCTGGCTTCAACCATCATGCCAAATTCACATTCAAATTCACTCAAATCTCATTTCTCCCCAATTCTGATCCTCCCTTTAATATTCAGCAAGTCGTCTTCTGCACACCTTGATCCTGCTGATTTGCATCAAATGAATAAGTTTAAAATTGTGTGCCACTGATTTAAATTTTGTATTATATTTTAGGATTTTTATCATCATTTACTTCCATAATAACTCTTCAAAAATAACTAATAGCTAAGAAACTGTATAGTAAAGTGAAAAGGAAAGTAGGGAGGGACAACATTTTTGTCTCGAGTTTTATTAAGGCTTGTAAAATTATACGTTTTCTCTCTTTAAACATATTTCCCCGTTTCTTTAAATTGTACACATTCTTGGCCTGGCTCTGTGTGGAGCTATTGTGACCTGAGCCTCAGGGCTCCCGCAGTGATGGCCGAGCAGATTGGCGATCACAGAGCGATAAGGCTATTGAGGAGAACTAGCCTGCTGGTTTCAGGTCATATGATGCGACGGCCCCCCCGACAAATAAAGAAAACCGTCCGTGTGTGACCCACGGGGTAAATGCCTGAACCATTCAACAAATTTCTCCTCATCCTCCCCTGGTGCACCACAGGGTCGCCGTGACCCGGCGTGAGAGGATGAGGCTTAGTCACACAGACATATTTCTCAGCTCAAGCATTGCTTGGAATCAAGTCTAATAAAAACGAAGACAGACTCCAGACTCATCGGCCGCATTGTTTCATCACTCACGTGTCAAAGGTCGGGTTGGGAAAGCTCACTGTTTCCCTCCTCATCCAGAGCACAAAGTGGCTCATTCTGAGGACACAATGTAGCTTCATAAACAGTCGTCTCTCACATATTTCACAGGGGCGCCTGTGAGGAGATATTTGTTTTCTCTTGCAGCCTAAGTGTCATCAAGTCACACTGGCAGGGAAAAAAAATAATGCCATTAATGAAAGCCAAATTGAATTAAAGCATGGATTTGACCGTGGGTTTCCTCAATGTCATGGGCTGACACAGAGATTCCTCTATCTGCCTCTTACATACACACACACACAGTCATATATATATATATATATATATATACACAAATAATCCCTTTGCTGGGAATGAGGTCTCTCAATCTCCACAAACAATCAGATAATCCTCCAGGAATCCTTTACTTCTCGTGGTCTCTATATCACAGATAAAAAGGGAGGGGAGGGAGGCGGACACATATCCATTCACAATCACACACAGACGCGTTCGATTCATAGCAGCTGCCTTTATCCTAAAATATAGTCTGCCCATCTTAAGCAGCTCAGGTGGCATCAGGGAGTTTACCATATAAATGACCTGCCTGCCTGCCGGTAGATAAAACTTACTCCGTTGACTGAGTGCCATAAAGCATTTTGTGCGAGAGCGAACGAGCCAACCTGGTTGCTGGTAGGAACACAGTGTTGAGCCTGTGTGTGGTCTCACTCTCTCTGTGTGTGTTCGTTGCTGTACTTCTTATTCAACAGCGCCTTGAAGAAGAATTCACACCCCTAGAATTTTTTTTTCCTTCTGCCCCTTTTCTTTTTAAAGTTTAACATGTTCTTTTGGTGATATACATGAAAGACCGACAAACTAGGGCATAGTCGTGAGATAGAAGTGTTTTTTTTTCCACTAATAAAACTATGAGGAGTGTGGTGCATTTGTATTTGGTCTTCCTGAGTCAATACAATCTTTTGCTGTACTTACAGCTGCAAATCTTTCGGGATTTCTCTAGCAGCTTCGCACGTCTAAAAATATATCCAGCTTCAAACAGATTTAACGGAGAGAGTCTGTGAACATTAATTTTCAAGTCTTCTCACAGATTTTCAGTAAGATTCATGTCTGGACTTTAACTGGGCCATTCTAAAACATTAATAAGCTTTGATTTAAATAATTCCACTGTCGCTCCGGTTTTGTATTGCCAACACCATGTTGCACTATGGACACGCACTGCTAGTTTTGAATGCTAACCAAAAGGTTCATATTTGGTCACACCTGAGCAGAGCACCTTCCTCCACATTTTCAATATGCTCCATAAAAAACTTTAGGCAAATCACAAGCAAAACATGTCATTGCTTTACATTTTCTCTTCGTATCAATGCTACCTTGGTGAAATCCACAATTATTAGGTGGATATTGTTTAATAATGATGTTATTTCTGAAGATAATTTGTTGCAATGAATTTGCAGAGTGAAAAAACTGGAAAAATTCAAGTGGTATGACCATTTTTTTTTCCAGAGCTGCTGTATCTGTTACAAGAAAAGACAAGTGGCTGTCATGTCTTTGATTTGTTTCTTGATCAGCATCGTCATTCCGGGCTGCCAGGAATCCCTCTGCCAACCCAGCAGCCCGAACCCGTTCGCCAAACACAACAGCGAAGCCGACTGGCAACCGGACTGTTGCCACTAAGCTGTGGCGTCGCGTCTGCCGTCTGTTACACTGTTGCATTTGAGGACACATGTAAATGGGATCTGAATGAGCTCCTCGCACCTGCAGCTTGTGAGGTGATTGAGTGCGCTGCGTGGGATTATGGGAACAGCCAGCCATGAGAACATTTTTTTCCCCTAAAATAATCCTTCAATGCATTGTTTCCTTCAATCCTTTTTTTTTTTTTACCTCGCCTTACTCCGTCCATCCCATCTGTTTCTTCACAGACCACACCGACACACAATGGGAGAATTGGTATTTTTAGAATAGCAGCCTCAGGAGGATTCTCATCAAATATATTCAAGATGCAATGTGCTTAAAAATGTATTCACCCCCGTTAACTTGGTTGTTTTCCATATTCGTGAGCAAATACAAAGGAATCCCAAAGACGGCACCTTCGAAATGCACCTTAGCTTTGGCGCCTTGCCGTTGTGGGAGGGAGTTGGAGGGCATTGCTATCGCACGAACAGTGTAGCTGAGTCTGAGAATTAAAGAAGTCTTTGAACTCTCTGCAACTCCAGCTGCACAGAGACACAACTTCAGCTTTAAAAGCCACTCTTTTGCCCTAAAGACTCTTGCAGCACAACGCTCCAAAAATAAGCTTTGTAAAGCTGCTGACCCAAACCTTTTTCAGGGGTGTAAAGCAGAATAGCAGCAGCTCTGGTTATAAGAAGGCACCACATAGTAGACCAAAACAAATCAAGCTATATATTCCTGTTTACCCACCGAAACGCGCAAAAGAAACTGAACAAGGTGTGTGAATTAGTCGGTACGAAGGAAATGTGAAGCCTTCTTCTCCAGACTGGAACTGGGACAAATATGAAACAGATCTGAATGAAGCTTTCCCAGAATATGTCAGAGCCAAAGATCTGTCCTTTTCGTTGGAGCTGTGTCTGATATTCCTCCACTGTTCATTAATTAACTTTATTTCAAAAGGAAAGGGAGAACATGGATGTGGAACAGTAAGAACAGAGAAGCTTGGAAATAAACAAAAAGGCCAGATAACTTTAATGATTTAAAACTGGCAAAGAAACCGTGTTCCACAGAAGTATTCATGCGCTTTGAACTTGATTTTCTCTCACAGTACAGCCATAAACTTCAGTGTAATTTATTGCGATTGCATTTGATAGAAGCCCATGCATAATTCTGATGAGAATGAATAATAAAACACGACTTTCGTTTTTTTGTTTGTTTTTTCAAGTCTGGAAAATATGGCATGCGTTTGTATTCAGTTTATTTTGCTGCTACTAAAAAAGATCCACTTGTCGACAAGCTGAATCAACTCTGGCCAATTTCCTGTGACTGCTTAAGAAAAAATTTACATGCTGGCATCTCAATCTCTTAAAACTTTGGGATATTGTTTCACAACCTAACCCTGCTTCACCCTTCTTGTTTTTTCCTTAACTTTGGAAACTTGCTTGAAGCAAGCTTCTATTTCTTGGTCTTCAAATTTTGACCTTAAGCATATTTAAATTGTTTTATTTGGGGGAAGAATGTAATTTTTTGGGCCTGCAAGTACTTTCAGTCAAATGTGACAAAAAGTTTAAAACAGCACATGATTTGATGTTTACTCAACAAACATTTGATGCCTTCGTAGAAAAGTAAACTTTATAAATTACTCTCAGTTGCACTATAGCTACTGATGAGGAGACTTTTGAAAGAAGTTGGTTGCAATGGAAAGTGCAAAGTGAAGATTGGAAATGGCCCAATATTTGCCTGTCATCTACTTTAAAATCTATTTATTATCAAGCACACACATAGCCGACATGAAGCTGCATTTTTGTAGCCGAGCCAAAATTTGTCGAAGAATTTAAGTCCTATGAGGTTATGTCCATGTCGCGACAATTAAAAGCTGCAGTTTCCTCTTGTCATGCAGGAGTTAGTATAAAATAAATCAAATGCAAGACATAAATATATCCATAAAGCTTTTGTTAATATTTGCCAGTGGAACAAAACATTTTTCCCCACATTATAAGTTAAAATGTCTTTTTCCACTGGCAGATTATTTCACTTATAACTAGTATTTTTACATGAATATTAAGGAATTATTTGCTTAAAGCAAGCTTCTATGTCATACTGAAAAGTTATGTGCAAGTTAGTTTTGTCTAACTAAGACAAAGCAATTTCAAGTGTACTAAGATATTTGTACTAGAAAGTACACCAAAAATACTTGGTAAAATTTTGTGTTTCTGCAGAGTGAAGTCAGATTCCAGAAGGTGGAAATCTAAACAGGATTCCAGCTCTCGACAACCTCAGTCACCAGTGACTCTTTAGCCAAAAGATGATACATGAAAAAATAAAAAATAAAAAAACAGTAACACATGACTACTTCAAGAATGCAAGTGTGGGAGTCAAGTTGTGTCACATCACATGATGTCTCGCTTGGATTTTACAAGCCGGACTCTGGGGAAGAACAAAACCTTCAGGACATAACGGAGGATTCCTACGATATGAATTACTCACAAGAGGACAATCCTTTCCAACAACAGGAGACAATTGTTCATACCTTCTTTCCCCAACAGGAAATCCAGAAAGTGGTAGGTGTAGGCCACTCCAACTTTAGTCTCCACTTGAGGCCGTCTTAGGGTGGAGTAGATGTTGCCAGGGCTACGCCTTTCCTCAGCCTTCCTCAGCTTCGGGAGCCTACACCCCATTTCTCTGGAATAAATTTGAGGGGAAAATAGCGCTAAACGTACTTAAAAATCACCAAGAACATTCAGAGAATTGTGGCAATAAAGCTGGAGAGAGCATCGTTATGATTTCTAAATATAAACAATGTATTTGCTCTTTTTATAGAGTGTGATAGTCCCACAAACGTAACTGCTATTGTTCATATGCCACCTTCGGCTTTGGGAAACGATGTGTGAATCAAACCGACACGTTCCAACCGCGTGCACGCACGCGCGCACACACACACACACACACACACACACACACACACACACAAACTGAAATATGAGCGTGTCAGCCATTACCTACTCGCCGGGCTGTGATACGGGCATCTCCTAATCAAATAGGGCTGATTGAGAGCGACATGTTTGATCAGAATGAATTAAAGCAGAAATGAGAGCGATTTCCTGCCCTGTCAAGCAGAGCGACATGAGACGACACGGACAGGGAAGAGGAAAGCAGAAGCAAAAAAAAAACGTTGAGGATGTCGAACAGATAACCCATTTCTATGCTGATCTGAGAAATATGTGATAATATAAGGCTTTTTCTGAATGGAAACACTTGAAAATATCTTGGGAGAAGGATTTGGATAAGCCGTTGGATTTCTTTAAGATATCCTTCCTCCTTTAAAATTCAAAAAGCAATTTTTACCTAAGAGTGCCAGTTTAAATATGTATAAGTATAGAAAAACAGACAAAAGTAGAGGAAAGACAAAATAAAGAGGGCAGAATCGCCAAAAAAGGGGGAAGGGTCAAATATCATCAAGCTAATTCGAAGCGACAGGACTGTTACTCTCAAACCATCCCCACAGATACGCTTAATATTTGTGTCTGCACATCTGCATATCTATATATGTGAGTCGATGTGTTTGTCTTCCCCAGGGGAAGGTCTATATCTGTAGCTCTGTATCTGTTCAGGGAGCATGGAGAATGACATGGTAACTCTCATTGGGCCAACTGCACGGACATTAACTCTGCTAACGATCCTAACAGAGCACATTATGCTGTGTGTGCGTGTGTGTGTTTTCTGACTTCTAGCTTTGACGGTGCTTTGAAAGGTTATGAAGTTCTAAAGAGGACTGCATCTTTTTTTTATGCTTAGCTCGTCTGTTTTATAGAGGGCACATATTTAAAATTTGCAGTGTAGGAATAATTAGGTGTTATTATTCTTTTAATACAACATGTCTTTCATAATGACTACAAATGAGGAGAGATGCAGGGATGGAGTTCTGGTGGAAGGAGAGTGAAACACTCAGTATGTCTCAGTTTCTTAGCTCTCCTCTTCCTCCCACCATCGCACTTTTTCCTCCTAAGTTCTTCTGCCATTAGCTCTTCCGCTCGCTCCGTTTCAGAAGTACTTATCAGACCCCAAACATTAATCACGCCTTTTCCGTTTAAGCTATTTTCTGCTTCTTTCTACCATCTTTGATTAACCTCCCTCCATTCATCTTCTACAATGGCCTTGATTAGTTTCATAGTAAACTACATTCAATCAATTTGATTACAAGACTTTCAGGCTTTTCTTTGCTTAGTGCCGTCTGACCTCTACGTTCTCTCTGTTTTGAATTTGTATTCTCCACAGCAAAGTCAGATTTCCTTATTCTGTCACATTCTGGCCAAGTCTGAAGCAGCTGGGATGGATGAGGGGTCAGGGTAAGTCTGAGAACCCTACAGTGATGTTATTCTTTCCACCTTGATTTATCTCATGACCACAAAGGTAAACTGGCGAATCAAGAGATTCACTTATAGGCTCATCTCTTTCTTCACTACAACAGCCTAGAGCTAGCCAATACTGCTGAGGAGATCCCACCTAACCTACCTTTGTCCTGATCCATCTTTTTCTCAAAACAGCAGAACTCCTTCACTTGAGGTGGTGGGCTCAGGTAAATGAGACATTGTATTAGTTTTTGGGCAGAGCCTGCCAAGGGTGCCATGCTAATTTGGGTGACATTTGCCAATCACTGTGGTTTGGCAACACTCAGAAGGTTGAATTGCTCCAAGTCCAACCGTGGCCCAGAAAGCAAAGCTCTGGTCAACATCGCAACCAGAACATTGGGTGTACTGCCTCAGAATACAATCAGTTCTTCTCTGCATTGAAAGGCATCAGTAGGGACCATGCATCGCTTCTGGTCTGACAATACCTCAGAATAAGTTGGAGAGTGTTGTTGGAGAAATGAATGCCTGCATCTCCCTCCTTGACTATTTACTTCGTTGGCCCATTTTTGAATAAGTGCAAGAGAGCGAATGGGTAAGTTTCTGGATGAAAGCTCACCCTACAACATCAAACCCTTCTTTCTTTACCATCTTTAGACAAACAGCAAAAATATTTGCTTTCCATTCTTCACTCCATTTTTAAACACTTTCTTTCCGGTAACTCTCTTACCAAGTCTGTCCTAAAAACTACTGTATTACAATGTCTCCAAGGAGAGGAAACAGGGCTCTGTGTTATGACAATATTAAAGCATGCAGTCCTTCTCCCAACTTATCATCCTTGAGGGGTTTACTTTAATATGATTTGTCAGCTAAAGGGACAAAAGTTTCATGTGGGTATGTTGAGCAGGATTCATCTCCGGCTGGTTAGGGAAAAGGGATTTGAGGCGAAAAGGAGGCTGAAGCACAGGAGAGAAAAGATTTTAAATTGTACCATAAAGCAGACATTCTTATGCCTCTGAGGTTAGATTTGAATATATGTCGTTACAACCCCATTCCAATCCAAGGCACTTAAACTAAACCACCCACATGTTTAACCATATTTCTCTCCATTTCCTTTGCACCATGCAGTGTTTTAAACTACTGTTGAAATTACACTCGCTATGTTGCAAATGACAGTTGATTTTTGTCTTCCTCAGATGAAATGTGACTGGTTGTACGTCTAAGTTCTGACAAGCCAAGTGTGTCGGTGTTTGATCCAGCATCTCATTTGCTCTTTAATTGTATACCGACAATTCAGTTCTAAGCCTAGACCTCACTTTTAACAGATGAACTCTGTCAGAGAAGGTTAAAAAAACACATCTCTAATTGAACACAACACACCGATGTGAAAACATAAGGTTGTGGTGGCAGAGAAACTCGTCTGAGCTTAAGACTGGAGGCCTTTCTGGGGCCTTTTTCTCTGTGAGTTGACTTCAAATACAACCGCTCCCTTGCTGCGACACAAACACACTGGGAGAAAAAGGGCATTGACAGCAAAAAAAGAGACCCTTTTGCCAAAAAAGGGAGAGACAAGAGTGAGACAGATGAAAGGAATAAAAAAAAAGAGATTGAGGTGAAAGACGGGGAGTAGCGGAGGGCTTCTCATTAGAGAATCTCTTGTAACGGAGAGGTTTTGAAATGGCAGGGGATTTATGTGAGAGCATAATCTGCTTGCACTTTGTCATTGCTGTACTACCTCCAGTGCCACTTGAGGGATGATGGTTTTACAAGAAGCATTATTCATCTGGAGAGAAAACTGCATATGGACTCAGACCAAGAAAAAAATCAAAGTGAAATTAGGTAGAACCACCTTTGAGAGGCTGACATTCTGAAAAGATTGACATGTTTTTTTTCCCCCTCCCATCCATTAAGCACTATCTTAAGTTAAAACCACTGCATAAAAAAAGAAAGAACTACATGCTAATTTTTTTTGTATACTTGAATGCAACTTATGAATTGAACTTATGACTTAAACTAAAATGGTTCTACTGGTTGCATCATGTGTCCAGAAGAAATAATGGTGTGAACAGGTAAACGAGTGCAAATGCTTTTCTTCAATTCTTTCAATGTATTTTGATGCAAGAGTATTTTAAGAAACTAAATCTACTTTAGTTATATTCAGTTTTGCATAAAGTGAAAAATATGATAAATGGATGATGGTAGATGACTTATTTTACTTGATAGGTTTTGAGACAGACTAACACCAGAGCCTATAGCTGCTGCTTTGTAGCAGCAAAATTTTCCCTGGCATAATAAGTCCCATTTCCAATTTTGTACCATATATATATATATATATATATATATATATATATATATATACACATTATTTATTTTTTTTTGTCATTTGTTTTTCTTAAACATTTCACATTCACATCCTAAAATCTGGAAGAATAAAAACAGAAAAAGCAAAAGTGGTAGAGTGAAACAAAATAAAATAAAAGGATGCCAAAGGGCCCTCACATCATCTCTGCCAAGAAAAAGAAAAATTATAGATTGGAGACTCAATCATATTTCCTGTCAGAAGATTAAGCAAATTCCAGAAAATCTCTTAAAAAAATCTTTGGTTGTCAAAAAACCTAGAAATATATATATATTTTTTTTTTTAACCAATGCATTGTCATTTCATTCATACCCACTCCAGTGTCTTATAGATATATTTAAACCATAACCCATCAGGTTTTGTCTTTTGTAGTTCAGTATTTTCATGACTGGCAAGAACAAACTGAGAAAAGTTTGGTGCAGAATGTCAAGCAGTTAACAGCATAATATCATACCCAAAAAACTGAGCATAAATCAGCAAAAACCATGTGAAGGTACAAAAGGGTGAAAAGATTAGAAAAGCATGGTTGCTATAGAGTAGGGGCCTTGAAGTCTGGGGTCCTGCAACTTTTAGGCGTGTCCCTGATCTAACACTCCTGCGTCAAATGGCTGAATCACTTTCTCAGTATGCAGCCATGTTCTCCAGAGTCATGCTAATGACCTCATTATTTGACTCAGGTGTGTTGAAGCAGAAACACATTTCAAAGTTGCAGGACAAAGATCGGCAGCAGTTTTTTTTTTTCTTAGCTAAAAAGCTGGTTATGACACAACCAAACAAAAACAAGAAATAAAAACTGGCTTAGGGACAAAATTAACAGCAACCTGTCTGTTATCCCTCAGATGAGGGCAATGATTATTTAAATATGCAATCAGGCATGCAGCACATAAACCCACAATTCAAAGATTGTTGTGCTTTTGATTATACAATCATCTTTGTGACATATCCAAATTCAGATAAACATACTAGCTAGCACTGGTGCTTAGGAATCAATTGATGAAACAAGATTTTCTAACACTGCATAAAAAGATTACAAATTGCTTGTTAGTTGTTGTATAAAGCATTTTTTAGACATTTTCCTAAAGCCAAAACCCTAGTTAGCAATGTGTCTGTTTTGGTATCCTTGGAGAGGGAATACTTTAGCAGGGAGTACCATCTTTTCAGCAGTGAGATGAACAAGATCCCTATAACAGATGGTTTGACGCCCACAGAGCCCAGCCTATATCTGCAGAAACACATAGTGGCAAGTACTAAAAGATGCTCAACAGGACCTGTTAGATTTTTTTGGATGCTTTAAAGAAAAAAAACAAACAAACAAAAAAACAGATTTGATTGTTTTTTTTCCCTTCTAGTTATCTCTAATTGAAAAAAGATAATATAATTAATTATTTTTGGAAAGATTTTGAGTACATTTCTAGTTCCTTTTGCACAGTACTGTCTCCTATAAATTACAATAATAAAAATTTGATTAAGCCGAGACAGAATCAAACAGTCTGTAGTTTTATGGTTCTTGTATGTACACCTCATGATCGTACAGTATTTCACTGCATTTCAAAATCAGAGGTGACAGACCGATTCCTGCGGAGTGGGGCCTCCCTCCCACTGGGCTGCACCGAGTCTCAGATGTGGGATGCTGCCATGGATGGAGGGAGGAAATAAAAAAGGGGGGGGGCAGTAATGAAATGAGGAGGAAAAGACAGAAGGAGGAGGAAATAGAGAGAGACAGACAGGCAGGGAGCAGAGTGGGGAGCATGTCAAGCTGCCTGGAGGGAGGTGTGATTCCTCCATGCAGAAATGTAGTCACCTCAAACGGTGTTTTAATGAGGCTGCGCAAGGAGGATAAAAACTAATTATGACAGTGATGTATTGGTCTGCCACACAACTTCTTGCACAGTTCCCTAAAAACAAAGCAGCTTAGGCAGAACAGAGAGGATTACACACAAAAAATAACTGGTTATAGGAGAGAAGCCATTATATTTTGCCCTAGATTGTACTAATGTGAAATTAAATACTGCATATGCCCCCCATCCCTGCTGCACACTGCATGTCAGCTTGCAGAAATAAAGTCATTCCACTCATATCCTATTTACAAAAAAAACCCCAAAAAACTCAAATTTGGCTGTTTGGAAATATTTCCAGATGAAGAAAAACACTGACATCCTTTTCACCGCCAACCATCATGGTAAATAGGAGAAAACGGTTTTAAAAGCACAGTTAGCAATAGTTGTCATCCAACTACTACAGAAGTAGTTTTTATGATGCTTATTCTGGGTGATATCAAATCTTTATATCAATATTGGTGATAACCAATATGAATATTGCCATTACAGCCCATGATTAATTGATTGATGGCTAGTTAGGTAGGTGCATACCCATTTGGTATAGTGAAAATCAACGACCACACCACTGACATTGCTTCTCTGTTTTAAAAGCCCTGTGCTGCATCACTGTTGCATACGTAAACAAATATCACATACTCAACCCATCCCACTCCCGAAACACATACAGAAACAAGTACAAAATGGAAATAAACATTGGTTATCAATATCAGCCCGGTTTTACTAATTGAGCCAATCAGCCAGTGCCGATGTTGGTACCAACGTATCATGCATCCTAGTTTATTCTATATTCTTAAATCTGTCTTGGTAAGCATTTTTTGGTTGGAAATATATCCATGTAAATTGTGTGTAGGTGCTTAAGCTAAAATGATAGTGTATTTGGTCAAAAAGTAAACAATTTTTGGGAGTTTAAATCAGATCTGTAGTTGTTTATTAGTAGCTAAAATGTAGACGCAAGATTGACAAGCACACCAAACAAAGTGACATGCACTGTGACCAGACTCTTACTCTTAGAAGTCTTCAGTCTTAATGAGTTTAGCTCCATAACTGTACAGTTAATGAACAACATGTAACTCATTTATTGTGGTTATACCATGACTTTGCTGTCCTTTACATATGACTTAAAACAAAAAATTTAATAATTATGAAACTCTATTCCTCTTCTGCCTTACAGAAACCCAGTCAGAGCTGCTTCATACGTGTTAGGAGGGCAGCTGGGAAATAAAAAAGGTGCAGAGGTGCTGAAATTATAAGAGCATAGAAGTTCTGGCTGGAAATTACAAATGTGACTCATTCAACTTCATCTTGGATCCAGAAAATGTTCACCAAGATAAAAAATATGTTGCTATCCAACATTGAAACATGGATTCCTATCTATCATCATTTTCTCAATTCTTAGCTAAAACAAATCTATATATATTCTTTTTCACACATAGATAAAGAAGATTACTTAAGATTTGTAATGTGCTTTCTGGTAGTTCAATGTTATTTATAGACCATTTGTGGACCTTTTAAAAGTTTGTCAAAGATATTTAAAACACTCAGAGGAACAAAATTGCTTGGTTTAAATGTGATCTAAAAGTAGACATCTGTTATCTGACAACATTGAGAAAATGTGAGTTTTTAATAAAAGATTATTAAAGCAGGCTGTGGAGGTTTTGAAAATTGAAAATATGACCCTCCACCCAGGGCATGCTACCTTCAGAGAGCGGTAATGTTCATAAGAAACTGTTGCAGTTGTTTAATGCCAGTTCTGTTTAAGCTAAATGGCCATTTCACTGTTTTTAAAGACACTGGATTGTTTTTGAATCGTCTGTAGTTGACAATTTCATTTACTTGAAGCAGACTGGTCAAACCTAAAGTGATTTATGATACAAAGAACCAACACTATTAAAAGGTAAAATTAAGATTAATGAATGGTTAATTGTAAAAGCACTGAAACATATGTAACACAGATTGGGATGTTAAACATTTTTACACTAATATTTTCCAACTCAATTTTGTTTTTGTGAAATGCATATTTATATATTATTTTGATATTCTTATTCTCTCTTATTCTTATATTCTCTTCTTTATTGAGAGTCTTATACTGGCGCTTTCATGTTGGCTTAGTTGGAAGTGGGCACTTGTGTGAAATTTCTCATCATGTCCCTTGCATGTTGTGTGGGTGCAACCTTGCTTGAAATAGTACGTTGTTGGGTCAGCACAGCCAAGTTCATCCCACATGGCTGTGGAAGATCCTGTGGTACTGTTTTCTTCTTTCTTTTAAGTCTTAAGACATTGCATCAAAATTGATAGAGTATAAAGAAAATAAAGCGCCTTAAATACACCATCAACATAAACGCCAGGGATTTTATATTCAAGTTTAAACATACATAGAGAGCGTTTAAGGATAGTAAAATGATTTAAGAGATTATATGATCTATCATTAGTACTTTTATATAGAAAATCAGTCGATATTTGTTTTGGATCGGAGAGTTTCGGTCAACGGATGAAGATTTTTGACAAGCAGCAAGTTAACCAGGTAAAACTGAAAAGTTTCCTTGTAGATCCTGCAATGGTTTGATGAAAGATAATTGATACGCGACAGGTCGCTTCCGCACGGCTTTTTCCTCGCGTGACATGCACATACATTTACGCACGGACACGCACTCCGTCACGCATACGCCGAGTTCACTCTAACCTGTGACAGCGAGTTGAAGGGCTTTATTCAGTTCGCTCAGCTGCTCAATTACAAATGGAAAAGCAATAGTGAAATGACAGGATGCTCGGAGATGACATTAGTTTTATTGTGAAAGAGTCTGAGAATGTGTAGTAAGTTTAGCTAACTGTAAAGTTGTTTTTAAACGTGATACATTAGGAAGGGGAGTGGGGGGGGGGATAAAAACATGTTCAGTCAGAATATTTAGGAAGTTATAACGGACTTAACTTCGGTCGCTAATTTTACTGTACATCTTCAGCAGAAACCCATCTCCAAAAAAAAAAAAGAAAGAAAAAAAAAAGCAGCAAATAAAGAGATACTTACCCGTTAGAGGTGGTCTCGGTCTGTTTAGGAAGTGGAAAGTGGACTGAAACCCTCCTCACTCCCGAGTCCCTCCTCTCTCTCTCTCTCTAATGTCCTCACTGTCTGTCCCCGTCACGGCACGTGCGGCTCCCGCAGCCACTGCGATCCAATGGGAGGAAAACATGAATCTTTCATCTATAAACTACAACTGAGTGGAAGCTCGGTTCATGGTAAACACTCCGTCAGGCTCCGACTGCTTGAGGAAGGGGTAGGAGGGGAGAAGAGAGGGCGGATTATCATCTCTCCTCGCCTTCCTGTTGTTCCCTTCTTGCTGCACCAAACGCTGCAGGAAAAACGCACGTCCTGCAAGGACTATGAGATGACTGACTATGCAGGTGATTTACGTGGTTGCATACAAACAGCGAGCAAGATTAAACTACAATATTATAACTGAGCGGAGGTATGCAACCGAATATCTTTCTTTTATATGTTTGGATTAGTTGGTAATTGTTTTCTCCCTATGTCAAAATTCAAGACTTTATACACTTCCAAAGTTCCCCAGTCCATTTTTTTTGTTAAATGTAAAAATATAAATGGAAAACATCAAACTTGAAAATAATTGAACGTAAAATGGACGAACAGGTAAGACTTAAAAAGTATAACTAAAGAATGTTGAATTGAAACTGAAACAGTGGACCTGTGCGTGGAGGAAAGATGGAGAGAATAGATGAATATGGTTGATAAATGCAAAAAGAGATGGATCAGCAAATAAAAAATCTAATAGCTGCTGGATGGATGGACGGACGGACGATAACTTGGAGGATTAGATGGATGGATGATGGACAAATAGATTGGTTGGTGGATGAAAGATGCAGAAAACATGGAGAGATGCATCATTAAAATAATGGATAATGAACAGAGTAGATGGATGGCCAAATGAATGAGTGGTGGCACAAATGAATGGATTTAAACAAATGGAAGACTAGATGAGGGGATAGATGGTGGAATAAATGGAAGCATGGATGAGTGAGTGGACAAATATGAACTTGGATAAGTAAAGTTTTTCCACATTATTTCAATTAATACCAAGTTGTTCAGCCTACGCGTGAATCCCATAAAGCTACCGTTAAGGTTAAATGTACGTTTTTCAAGGGTCTTCTTAGGAAAATTTATATTTTATAAGGAGCTATCCAGACTAATCCATAATTCAGAAACGTCTGACAGGGGGCTCAGGGGAGGGTGGGCCAAAGGCTGGAAAGGGCACTCTGGGGACCCACAGTCACACCATCAGGCTGTGACAAAAACAAAACGCCCTCTGACCAGAAGACGAGGAGCTTGTTGCCAGGCAAGCCTGACTTGAGGAGCGGCAACCACCGACGGGGAGGGCGGATCGGAGCTACGCCGCTCTCGACAGCTCCATGCAGATCCGAGACACATCCTACAAGTTTCGACACAAAGTTGCGGTAAAAATCAGACAGAGTTATGACAAACTGAACTTATTTATTGAACAAAATAATCCAAAACCCAACAAAAAACAAACAAAAAAAAGACTTCAAACTGTGACTTTCTCAGGCTCTCTGAACAAAAACGTCTCAAAACAATGGTGCCTCCGCAACTCAAAGTCAACGTCCAGAAACTGTTAGATGGAAAGAAAAACTGATGTACACCACATGCTAATGTGCATCTATATTAAGCTATGTTTAAAATGAAACTTAAAACCACATCCGGTGCATTCACTTATTAAATGTTTAAAATAATCCTTTACGCAAGACATGCAATCAAACAAACCCCCATCAAAAAAAATATATATATATGTATATATAAAAACTGAACTGTAAATAACCCAACTAGTGAAAAACAGGCTGTAACAAGTTTTGAAAAACTGTCATTTTCTCCTTTTTATCCTAACATTAGTTGATTAATGAGTCAAAGCAAAGTGAATTGATGCTGCGACTGTCTTCGACTGTGAACTTCTGGAGGCACATGACGAACATTTACAACTAAAGACCAAAACAAAAATTACTAATGGTGATGAGGTGCGAGGCCAAGCCTGCCTTTCATTTACCACAGTGACACCCAGTGAAATAAAAAGGGAGCGCAAAATGCCAGTGCTTAAAATTTATGATCGTGCCCTTATGCTGTAGGAAAGTTAATAAAGATCTTAATCAGAGGAGCATTAGACCTGACAAAAAAAAATAAAAAAAATCCACTAGAGAACAGATTGTAACAATGTACAAATATACAAACGCATTCCTTCCTATGTACAGAGAGCCCTTAAAACAGACTGGACAAAACCAATAAAACAAGAAAAAATAAATTAAACATAATATATAAATAAACAGAAAAAGTGAGATTAAAAGCCTTTCCATTTTTTTTTTCTTTTTTTTTTTGCTTGGGACTGTAAATAAGAAAAAAAAAGTGATCCCATGTTTCGGCTGGTATACCAAATGTGCTCTTCTCATCTTTTATAAAAGTCTCTGTGATCTATGTGAGTTAAAAGCAGCCGACCACAGGTCAACCTCACCGATCTTGGTTCAAGTGACTTGGATCGAAGTGGTTCGGTTTACGTTGAAAGCTCAAGAAGTCTGGTGTTAAAACGGCTCTGAAAAAAGATTTGACAGGAGAGACGAGGGCGTTCTGAAAACAATCTGGGGAGTCAGGATGCTTTCAGACGTCCAGAATGCCAAGATGTCACCATGTCCACATCTTGACTTGTTGAAGCTACTACTGCAGTCTGCGTCTGGAAAAGACGAAAGAACACAAAGAAATGAGCCATTTCTTAAAACTAGTAACACTTTAAGCCTTTATTTCTGTTAATTTTTATGACTATGGTTACAGGATAAAGAAAACTCAAGTAATTTTTTTCTGGTAATTTATTGTATCAGTAAAATAAATAGATTAATTTATGTCCTTCCTAGACACATTGCTTACAAAAATATACAGATGTATCTTTACCTTGCAGAAGGCTCAGTAGCTTTCATCTACAGCACAGTCAACATAGTCTGGACTCCACAATCCACAAAGCTCTAAAAACAGGATTTAGGATCAGAAAACAGACAGGACATGTACTTGATTAAAAATTCCTATGCACAACAGCAACCTCTAGTGGTGGAATTGAATATTACAATCAAAACAGAAGACTATTTTGAAAATTTGGTTTGAACAAAAAGGGAGAAAACAAGTGTTTCCAATGAATTGGAGTGAGATAAATAATCACCTGATTGACAGGCCGAGTCCTTTGGTCGGGGGTCCAGGGAGCTGGGGTGTACTGCGTGTCGGAGGGGGGAGAGGTCAGATGTCAAGCAAACAGCAACAACGCAACAAGCTCGCTTCTTAAAGAAAACTGAAGCTAGAGGAACTAAAGTCTATTTCACAAGCAGAAACTACAGTGAAAGAAGCAATGCAGGCTAAATCCTACTATCTGCTGTGTTTATGCGTTTACCTGGTAGGGGTAGGGGTTCTGTGCGTAGCTCATCGGCACCTGTGGAACCATCACCCCGCTGAAGCTGCTGTAGGAGTACGGCTGCTCCAAGAACCAGTAAGAACAGGCTTATTAACAGTTAACGTGGAGATGAAAGACAGCGGAGAGAGGAAAACAGTTACCTGGTTATACGGGTTGCCTCCGCTGTAGACGGGTGAGGGCTGTGTAACCCCTCCTCCCATTGGTGAGCAACACGCACAGTAGATATATTGGCTTGGACTCATCCAAGGAGCGGATCCGACCAGACGGGATGGTATGGATCCTGAAAAAAGTAAAAAGAAAGTAGGACATCAGCTTCTTTTTGGCAATGGTGAACCACACTGAACTTTCCCAAAAGGGCCATTTGTTTCATTTTTTTAAGTTGCGGACATTTCCATTACTTCTATAGCAGTGGTTCTTAACCTGGGTTCGATCGAACCCCAGGGGTTCGGTGAGTCAGTCTCAGGGGTTCGGCGGAGCCTCTGCCACGGAGGTAAAGACACACTGTGTAAAGTCGTGATGACGCCCCGTTTTGCCATGACTTGCTCCAGAGGATCATGTTACATTGCTGAGCCAATCAGTGCTGCGGGAAGGAGTTCCACTCTCATGGATTTGAACTTGTGTCTTTAATTACTTCAGTAAAGCTCACCGTTTTTACCAAATTCTATAGTCTAAATCTGCTCCTTAGTCACATCTTTTCGGGGTTGGTACTGCCTCTAGTGGCGTGGAGGAGGTAATACAACTAATATAATTACATTAATAAATCAGAATACCGCAAATTATTTTCTGTGTGTGTATGGGGGGGAGGGGGAGTTCGGTGAATGCGCATATGAAACTGGGGGGGTTCGGTACCTCAAAAAAGGTTAAGAACCACTGTTCCAGAGGTACCACTGTCGTTTTTGTCAAGCTTACACACACTGATGAACACTGACGCAGTTGAAAGACAAAGAATTATTCCCAGGAAATTAATGTGAAGAGAAATTAACATACGTGGACTCCGTTGCTTCATGATTGCAGGGCCCAGCTTGAGTTTCCGCCCTTTAAAACTGATCTGTTGCTGTAACAGACAAAAAAAAAAAAAAAAAATACAAATCTATATATATAAAAAACATTATGCAGAATATATGAATCTTGGTTGTTACATAAAAAATGTATGCATAAAACATTCACTGACCTCAATGATTGACTGAATGTTGACATCTTCATTGAAATACACAAACCCGTACCTAGGAACACACAAAGCAGTCCACATGCTTAATGATGGAAAGTATGAAGCAGAAAATAGCCATAAAAATCCCTTCACTCATATCAACTAATAATATACAGTAGAACATTGTGCAAACCCATTAAAGAATGGATCTAACTTGCATCATTCACCAATATGTGAGCAGGAATGTCTAGGTGCCAAATGATGTGTGTGTAATGTGTTGTGTTGCCACAGGGTGGCAGTATTAGCTACTGTCCTTGTGACGTCTATCTAGTGAAAGTAAAATTTGTGCTAAATGGACACAAACCTCTCTACAAAGTGGTAAATCAAGTAACATTAACACAAAAGGAAAGTTTAGGCTGTGTACCTGTTAGGGAGAAGGGCTTACTTCAGGTGTGTTTAAAAATAAAACATTAAACCAGTGAACACAGTAAAAGTTACTTTGTACATGTTTTTTTATATCTTTCCAAAAAAAAAAAAAAAAGAAGAAGCAAATTCTTAGTCTTATTGTCTCCACTTAACACAAATTTGCATTAACCCTTCTTCAAGAACAAACTTGTATGAACTTTAAGCTGTAACTATGACAACACACCTCTAAACATACTCACCCTTTGCAAACCCCTCCACGGTACGTGATTATTTTTACTTCCTTGACATTGCCATATCTTGTAAAGAAGTCCCGCATTTCATTTTCATCCACCTAATGGTTTAAACAACAACAAAAAAATAATAAATTGCTATGGTTTTTAAACACATAATCTTTTGTTAATTGGCCTACGATCAACTGAGATTGACTGCATAAAATTAAGACTGGATTGCAATTTCAAAAGAATGAGGCTGCATGTAACAGAAATTGATGCTGCTTATGTATTAGGGCTGTAGTAGAATTAAATGGATTCACTCTAAATTAAGTGCATATTTTTGGATAAGTAAAAAAAGAGTTGTAGGTTTGGATCCTCTGGAAACTGCTGAAGCTGACGAGAAATATGAAGCACAACTAGTATTTCAATATCAAAAGAGATTGCTTTGAAGTTGAAAAGTTATTCTTATTTTTAAATGCAGTTATTTAAAAATGTGAAAATTACACTGGCTAACACACAGATTTATCATATTTAAAAACAAAGTTAGTACTTAAAAATCCTTTTGTGGCTAATAAGAATTTTTGTTATTCTAGAATTCAGCTTTTAATTAATCCCATTGTTGTTGTTTTTTTTATTATTTCCAAGAATTAAAATAAGCCATGATTTTTTTTCTGAAGGAACAAAAATATTAGCCCCAGTTCAGCATCAGTCCACACAGAACCATTACTAACCTATATATGATTTCAATGAAAGTAAGATTAAGTATAAGCTCACCTTCATGTCGATCCCACCCACAAAGAGGGCGTTGGGGGTCAGTCTGCCCTCTGGCAGAATGTATCCATTAGATAACTTCAAAGAAGGTACAGTCTGGGTAATGGTTCTTGGCTTGTTGAAATCCTTGCAGAAAAAAAAAAGTTACATTTGAGATATACGAATGTCGTGTGACTATCACAAGAAACTGGTCGTAGTAAAATCGACATCGTTGGAAAGTTTGGAGTCGGGGCTTGTTGACATTTTGAACTTGAGCAGCAGGCTACATTGTCTAACAACATGGCGGCCATGTTCTCGCCTGAAGAAAAAAAAAACTTCACAAGAAAAAATGGATATATGCAAATTAAACTATTTTTCTATTCAATTTTCAAGCAAACCACTTATATTGTAACTAATATGGAGGTCTGGAACTTAACGCTCTAGTGTTAAGGCGATTACGAATAAAACACATATTGGTGCTTCCACAATTGAACACTCCCGCTTTAGCTTCACAAGAACCGACTTTATCACTGGACACAAAAGAAACAAAGACACGTCGACAAAATCGTCTACGCTGTTAACCTGACTCACTTTTTTGGGCGAAACTAATGTTAAGTATAGGTTAAATTCGTTTTTAGTCAAGCTAACATTTGCCAGTGGAAATATTCCGCCGTTTTTAGCTCAAGCTAGCATCGGTTAGCTAGCATATCATCGCTATTACCAATAATCTCCAGTCAGCACGCTCTTTTAAATAATTTATACCTCTAAGATGCATACTATGTTGTATACAGAGACTTACCATGGCTAAAACAATAAAAACCAATAACTTAGGTTGACTCTCAAGCCGACGACCTGTTGCGTTCTGCCGAGACAACCACTGCAGTAAGACTAAACCACACCCAAGGCTCACCACGTGACTCAAGATGCTTGCAGACCTCACAAGCAAATAGGTAAAATCCAGATTCTAGCTACTGAACATGTGAACAAACTTTGCCTGCGAAATGTTATGTTTGTCGAAATGAACGATCTATCAAATAAAAACGTTTTTTTTAAAATTGTTTCTCACAGTGACATAATTCATATAACTTTTAAATTGTACGTTTCTAATTATTTTTTATATATTATATTTAGTAAAAGCCTCTTTGTTTTTAAATAGCAGTTTTTACGTTTTACCTGCTTTTTTAGCGGGGAAAACATTAAAAAAACATTTGTTATTCAAAAATGTTTTGGACTGTGCATTAGCTAGTTTATGAATCCGTAATCACGGCTTCAGACTAATTATACATTTCAAAATAATAGTAATAAATAAATATAATTATTTATGAAATACTATCATTTTTCGCTTAATATTTCAAGTTCCTGATGAACACATATCTAAATGTTGTTTAATCTCAACATCTCGGTTTTAAACAAGAAACCGGAAAAGACAGTGGCATTGCGGGGTTTTATTTTTACAGGCATTTATAACGTAACCCCAAATAGCAAATATTTAAAATTATTCCCTTTTTTATTATTATTTTATTTAGACCGTACATTTTGATAAAATCTTCAGCAATAGTATTTGCACAGTATTTAGCCTATCGTCCTTTTATGGAAGAAAAAAAAACGGTAATTGACGTTGCCACGGAGACCACAGTGCTTGAAACCAACGAGTGTTTCTGTTTACAGGAACTTGATGGTATTTCCCGGGTTAAAGTTTTCAGCAGAGAAAATATCAGCACATTGATATAGTTTCATGTTTAGCAGGTGAGTGCAGTCATGTATTTTTAAGTAGAGCTTTATTTTTCACCGCTTGTTACCTTAAAACATACCAGCAGCACACGGGAGAAGGTACACAGGTGTTTGGTAATAAGCTATTTAATGATTAGAAAAAAGTCCGACGTCATGTGGAATTTTGTTCTAACATGTCCATTTTCTTCCCCCATTAGATTTGTTGAAGCCGAACAATTATGGAGCGACTTCAGGAGGTAAGGTTTTGACTCTCTTTCTGACGAGTTGTTCAGCTTTTCCCACATTATAATTCACTCTCAGTCAGAATTTTGGAAAAATAATAAATGAAACAATTTTTGCTGTCATAGTTATCTAAAGTTTACGGATTAAACCTTAACTGCTGCAGAAAAATAATATGCCTTGCAAAAGTTGTATTCATAACTCTTGAACCCTTTCACATTTGTGACTCCGTAATTTCAAACGTATTGTGTTTATGGACTACTTTATGCAATACACCAACATGTTTTAAAAAAAAAAAATAACCTGTAAATATGTGAGAAAGTAAAAGGGAGTTAAGTACAGGTGCACACCATACTTATTTGATTTTTATTTTTAAAAGATCTTGTAAACCTTGTTTTCTGATCACTTCATAATTATTTGTTCATCTATCACTTAAGATCTCAATAAAATACATTCAATATTATCATTTTAATGTAATAACATGTGAAAATGTTCAAGGGGTGTGAACGCTTCTGCAAGACACTTTATTTAAATCCTACAGTTGTTTGTAATTCACATTTGGAGACTATGGTTAACATGAACATAAAAATGTTTCCCTTCCTTTCCTGATCCCCACAGATGGAAGATGACTCCCTCTATAATTTGGGTCAGGCTATAGACCACCCTTTCCCCCCTCCCCTGCCTGAAAAGTGTGCTGCCAATCCATCAGACCTATATCAAGTAAGACTGTCAAACACCGTTTTACTTGTTAGCAAGTTCAGTTTTTTTATGTTTCTTGAACTCCTGTCGTTTCACTCTATCAGGTGGTACAAAGACATAGTAACTACCCACCCATCATTCAGACCAATACATGCCGCGTGTCTGTTCCATTTAAAGAACAACGGCACCACCGAGCTCCCAGCGAGTCTATCGGAAACAACTACAGCCCCAAGGCGCAGGACTTGAAGATAGAAAACCTCACCAGACATCGTCCATCACGCAAGTCCTCGGCAACGGCAACTGGACCAAAGAGAGTGTAATAGCACACTCCACACATGTTGCAAAAGAAGTTTCATGCGTGCCGTATTCTTTAACTTGAAGAACGTCATGCGTGATTCTGATTTTCACAGGAGGCCACCGCGCAGCCCACTTAGCCCACCTAGCCCCACTCAGACAAAATCCAAGAGAAGAAAGACAAGAATATGCAGAAGCCCGCCAATGAGTCCTTCTGAGCAGCTTGTCATCATGCACAAGCTGGAGGAAACTCAGAATGCTCAGAATGAATACAGTGAGACAGACCTGGAGGTAAGAAGCAGTGAATTAATTCACAGACTTCGAGAGATCATCCTCCTGTGTTTGATTTGAACTCATTGGCAATTTTAACTTTTCTCACATAGAGGTATACATACTACGTCAAAAGAGGCATCCCCTTTTACATGTTGGCCCCCTACCCAAAGCAGTCGATGGTCAACATTAAGAATATGCTGCCTCCTGAGCCAGAGGAGGGTGTGAAAAAACCCATCCGAACCCTGAGAAATAACTTAACAGAGGAGGTTGAAGAAGGTTATTACTTCAACCTCAGGAAGAGCATAGGTAAAACTGTTTGTGTTTACAGTGGACAGAAAAACTGCATGTAGTGCTGATAAATTTCTAGATTTCTGTACCGTAGAAAGTGAGAACGCTGATAAATTCATCCAAAATATTGTCCACCTGTAACCAAGACACAAATCCGGTGAACGTACCTGAAAAACAAAGTCATATTTTATAAGGGGAAAAACAATATGCATGTGCATTCTAATTTGGCAGTATGTTTTTTTTTTCTTCACAAACTGGTTTGCGGAGCTGTTCCTAATTTCCTTCAGACTCACAATGCCTTTCCATCTCTAGAAAAAAAACATATTATGTCCACAGCATGATGCTGCCTCCACCAGGTGTTACTGTTGTCATTGTGTTGTTTTAAGTAACGCTCAGTATAATGTTTGTGCAAAACTTTACTTTTGGAATCATGGCCTAACGGTCATGTTTGGCTTTATTAGAACGTTGTCCACTTTCCGACAAGGTTAACAGTAATAAATGATGAAACACCTTCTGGAATCATTGTAATAAATGCTTTGATCTTTTTCATCAGTGGATTACATTCTAATGGACCCATCGGAGGGCCAGCGACTGACAATAAACAACATTCCAAAGCCTTTTCCCAGGAGGGTGATTCGTCCTCCGGTTCCCTGGGCTGTTAGCTACAGGGAAGCCAAACTGTGGCAAATGCAACATCTTTTTAATGTGTGTCCTTTTATGGGCCTCTTACAGCAAATCTGGATAGAACGGTAAGGCATGCTGTTCAATTATTGTTTTGAGTAGTTCATGTTCTTTAAAGCATTAAAAATACACATTTAGTAAGTGTAGTGCTTACTTCGACTTGCAGCTGCAACTTGTAAAAGTGGCATGTGAATCATAATAAATGGTGCCCATTTATCTATATCATTTATCATTTATTGTGAACATTTCTTATGATCAGAAACTTGATTTATTGTTATCTTGTAAATTTCAATGATGTGAAAAAAGCAAACAAAAATAATTCTATCTGTAATGTAATTTTTTACTATTTTCTTCACTCTTCCACTGTTGATGCATTTCACATTTCTTATTTCAGCTATTCATCCTTGAGATTTGTGAAAACGACAGACCTGTGCTCCACCACATTCCCTCTTTCGCCATCTGAGTTTGTCATCTTTATTCAGGAACAGTGCGAAGCCACCAGACAGGAACTGGATGAAGGGTGAGTACTTCCTGTCGGATAAATTGTTCTTCCTCTCCTGTCCAGAGTTAATCAGCTTAGTTGGATTGCTAGCTTCTGCAAGGGAACCCAACCTAACATGAAGCCTGATGTTCCCGTCTTGTCCACTTTGTCAGACACATGTCAGACTGCTTTTCGCTGAATTAAACAGTGTCATTGCAAATTTATTTGTGTCTTTAACTGTAAGACAGTTATTTCCAGAAAATCGGCAAGAATGTTGCTTAATCAGTATCAAACCATTATTTTTTAGGACTTTTAGGACTTTAAGTGTAAATACAATACCTAATTACGAAATATATATACTCAAATACATGTAAATACACCAAGTGTTCGGTGAGTCTGAAAAGGAGTATGGTGAAGTAACAACAGGTAGGTTGTTTGATGTAGATTAGTTTTTACGCCTAAAATTTTAAAAATAATAAAAGGAGAAAACTAAAGTTTGAATAAAACTTAAGGTCAGTTTAAGGAAAATACTAAGGTGTTTTGGTTATTTGATGCAAAATATTAAGAAAGTGAAGTTGCAGACAAACTTTCTTCATAAATAATATTTATCATTTCCGTTTTCTTTTGTCTTGAGTATGTATTCCTTCAACAAACACAGCCATCAATGAACACTGTTCAGATTTGGATTAGTGATGTTGATGGCAGATTATGTTGAGGTGAAAATAAATCTCTTTAGAAATATTCCCTGATGCATTAAATAAAGGAATGTTACTGGACACTAAAATATGTTTTGATAACTGAGATCAAGATTGTTCTATTTAGACTTTAACAGAGGTGTCTTCTTTCTTTAAGGTGGCTGCCATATTGTGTGTCACTCTTTGTTGTGCATGAGCACATGTGGGTGGACCTTTTACCCGAGAATGAGCCGATCCTTGTTGCAGAGTTCTTCCACTGCGTGGCTGCACTCATGTCGCTGCAGCTTCGAAGCCTGGTCATAGACTCATTGCAGGATCTGCTACAGTTTTTCTTGAGACACAAGGTGTGGACTTTTTGAGTTTTTTTTTTTTTGGACATAATGCTTGAAATTTCAAAATAAAATTTGCAAACATGCTGCTTTCTTTTAGAATTGTTAGTTAACATGAGAGTTTTCAGAGCTATTACTCCTGTAGAGCATTTCCTGATTTATTTTTTTTTTTCTTCTTCTTTTTTTCTTCCCAGGAGGGGAATGACTTCAGTGGAGATTTTGATGTGCTGATATTTGTTCATG